AATGTCCTCGTCCAACCCGCTCCAAAACAGTTCCATGAGCTCAAGGTCGTCTAAAGCCCCCAGACGACAGCACGACATAAAGTCCCTCACGTACCTCTCGATGGACTGGCCTTCCTGAAATATCGAGGCAAGGAAACTTATGAGGGCCTGGTTGCTGACAACTGCTGGATCCATATTGTGGTGAGTTGTTCTGTAACGCGATGCGGTGAAGGCAGATAGGAGGCTGGATCCAAACGCAGTTTACACGCTTTATTTAAACAAACACACTTAAACAGAGACTCGGAACTTGGAACAGGAACGACCAACACTCACGTTAATCCTGAAACATATACTCCTCACAAAGACAGGGCAGAAACACAGGGCTTAAATAATCAAGAACAAACGAGCTAACAGGATAACAAGGGGGCGTGGGAAAATCAGAACACCTGGGAAAACTAATGACAAGACAGGGAACCACTAAACATGACAGGACACAAGACCCACATTATGACAGTAACTGTAAAGGCCTGTTCACACCGGGACGAATTTCGCGCGCGTTATTCGCCGACGTTTAACGCCTCGTGACTAAACAAAGGGCGCCAATGTGAGTGTTCACACCGACGCGTAAAACGCCACGCGTAAAAGCGTCATTTTAAAAAAAACGCCTCGGGTTCGTTTTTTTAGTTTGACGCGCCGCGTCAAAAACTTTCCGACCAATGAGACTGGCGCTTTTGCTCACGTGTCTGGTGCTTCTGAAGTTACAGTAAAACACAACTTGGGGGCGCTCAAACACAAAACGGTTACAAACGTAACGGCGAAGAAGATATACGCCACCGTCTATACTGCCGGAAGAAGAAGAAGATGCAAAGCAAAAGTTAGTCCGCATCCGCCGTTAAGCAGCCAAAGAAGAAGAAGAAGAAGATGCAAGGCAAGATGAATGTTGAGCTGCTGGTCTCGTTGGTTTCGGAGCATAAAGAGCTATATGATAAACGCGACAGCGACTACAAAAATATCGACAAAAGAGACCTGCTATGGAGTGGTATTGCAGATCAAATGAGCCTTGATGGTGAGTTTAATTTCACTTAATTGTCTTTCATGTACATATGCTTGTAACTTTTTCCCACAAATGTTTGACGATCGCCATTTGTGTGCTGTAGTGGAGGAGGTAAAACAGAAATGGAAAAGCCTGCGCGATACATATACAAGAAAAAAGCGCGAAGATGATTGCCGAAGTGGACAGGCTGCCAAAAACAAGAAGCCGTGGAAATTTATGAAGGTCATGGAGTTCCTCGCAACATCAACTGAATTTCGAAGGTATTATCATTAGTACATTACAATACATAGCTGTGTGAGCTATAGAGGGTTTTCACCAACGTCACGTTCCGGATGCGCGGCCATTATGGAGGCACTCGGATGTAAACAACAGCATGGATTGCACTGTTTATGTACTACTGAACACATTGTTACACTAAAAAAAACAAGACAATTTTTCAGCAGAAATAGTCTGCTAAATTTGCGAGTCCGTTGAGTTCAGTGGCATTGTTTATGTTCAGTGCCTCCAAAATGTCCGACTTCCGGATTGATGACGCGTCTTGAAAACCCTCTATACTATAATGCATTGACAATGACATTAAACATTAACATGATATCATTGCATGTTCCCTGTTCACCATGCGATCACAACTCTAGTTCAATATATTAGTTTGTGTTCTGTGTATAGCTAACCTCTGCTGAAATTGTGTTGCCAGACATATGGTACATTAAAATTAGCATGAATCGAAACTAAATTAGTAATTAAACATTGAGCTCTTGAGTATTTTGTCATGATGGCTATGAAGTGTGGCATGGGCCACAGTGTGAGTTATTGTTTCTGATGTAAACTGAATTTGTCTTTACAGTGTTCACAGCAATATTCCTCATGAAAATATGGATGAAGAGGTTGGCCAAGTGGTGGTCAGAAAAGAAGTGAGCGACAGTGAAGAAGCACCAGCAAGCACGTCTCCAGGATCATCATCCTCCGGCCCAACTGTGACAAGGTGTACTGAAAAAAAAAGAAAACGGCCAGAGACACCAGACTTCCTTGGCCGGTACCTCTTATCCAAAGAAGCCAGGGAAAGTGAGAAAGAGGAACGCAGAAGAGAGAAAGAGGAGCGCAGAGAGCAAAGAAGAGAGCAACAAAATGATGATAATTACTTGTTTGCTCTTGGCTTGATACCAGCACTAAGGAGATTGTCTCCAGTCGTACAGTCTTCGGTCAAATTAAAAATACATCAGCTGTTGCATGATGCTGAGTTTGGCCAGGCCTCTTCTGCTTTTTTCACTCAGCAGTCACCGGTGTCCTATCGTCAGGTCACCCCGCAGACCCCAACAAACTATGGCTGCTCTACAACTTGGCTACCCTAAAAGAAGTTTATTATATGCATTTTTGCATTTGCACTATTGTTATTGACTTCATTGCACTGCTGTTTTTTAATATAGAAATGTCATTGTATTTTATTAACATTCAAGAATTAGATGAATGTGTATGTGCACTACTGCAGTCATTGTGACTTATTTGCTCTACTGTTTTTTTTATATAGATATATATGCCTTTGTATTTTACTTACATTCAAGAAATGGTTGAATGTGTATGTGCACTATTGTTCACTTGCACTAGTCATTGTGACTTATTTGCACTAACTTTTCTGACTACCTTTTTTACTTTGATTATTGCAACTTGTAGTTCATTGAAAAAAATAAATGTTTATTTTTTTCAAAAGACATTGTGTGTACGTGACTTACTTGAAATTAATGTAACATATTTTGGGATTTAACATTTGTACATCTTGACCTTTTGTTAAAAATAGCTATGTGCCTAATTACAGAGTCACTGCATTTATAGGCACGTTATCAATCTACAGGAACATAACCATGTTGGGAAAGAAGATTTTAAAGAAAATGCTTATAAAAATGTTTATTACAGATACACATTTTCAAAATCACAACTTAAGTTTAGCTGTAAATAAGTGACCAAATACTTTACATTTTGCAAAAAGATTTTATAGTGTATTCAAGTTCACAGAAATTGACACACACAATAGCGGTTTTCACAGTGGGAAATGTAATCAACATGGCTCAAAATGTACAGTTTGATTTTATCTGTTCCCCAGACCATGGTTCACATGGTCATACTGCCAAGCAACCTCTCCTGCGGGCGAGTTGAAGTACTCCTTGTACAGTTCTCTGACATTCTGTGCCTCCACAGATGCCCGCTGCCCCCTACAATGTTCAAAGCCTTGTAGTGTTTGCTCACAGTCTTGGTCATCCTCTGCGGCATGATTCTGACCGTTTCCTTTCGGGCGCAAATAATTGCACAAAACACAAGCAGCTTTGACAACTTGGTCAACAACACTTGGTTGAACCTGCAAAGTTCTTCGGAAAACCCGGAAGCGTTGACTGAGTATGCCAAACACATTTTCAGAGATGCGCCGTGCCCGAGACAAACGATAATTGAAAATTCTCTTGTCTGTGTGGAGGCGGCGTCCAGGGTATGGCCGGAGGAGATATGGTTTCAGGGGAAAAGCTTCATCCGCCACAATGACATGGTTAACTTTTCCCAGCTCAGGAGCACCTGGAAGTTCATTTGTTGGGGGGACATTCAGTGTTCCATCTCTGAGTGCCTTTCCCAACACAGAATTAGCAAAGATGCCTCCATCACTGTTGCTGCCATAGCTCCCCACATCAACCACCAGGAAGCGGTAATCTGCATCAACTAAGGCCAGCAATACAACGGAGAACGTACCTTTATAATTAAAGTACAGAGAACCAGAGTTTGCAGGGGCCTGGATGTATACGTGTTTCCCATCCATGGCTCCCAAGCAGTTAGGGAAATTCCATCGTTCATGGAACCTCCTGGCTGTATTCCTCCACATCTCTTCAGTAGGCACTGGCAAATGTTCATCTCTGAGGCAATGCCACAATGCATCACAGGTTTCACTCACTATCGAAGCCACAGTTGACACACCAAGTCGAAAGCTGGACGCAATAGTGCGGTACGAGTCCCCAGTGCTCAGAAAACTGAAATAGGAATAGACAAATACTAGTTTTTAACAACGTTTCACTTAAGTTTTTACATTCATTGAAGTGAATAACAATGTAAACGAACTCACCGTAAACACACGGCCAAACGCTGTTCTGGATCGATCGGTTTACGGTAGTGTGTCTGTTCTTTTGTCAGCGAGGGAGCCAGTTGTTGAAGTAAATTTTCGAACTCACTGACGGACATTCTAAAATACCCCCGAAAACGCTCATGATACATTTTCAGCTCTTGTACCAGTCGATAAAACTCCCCATGTTCTTCTCTTCTCGTAGCTATGGGATGTATCCAATATCGGCGTCTTTTCCGGCGGCTTTCCTCATTCATCAGAATAATAAGTTCCTCATCACTGGAGCTTGAGCTGGAGCTACTGGTGCTTGAAATTTCCATGTTTTCTTTGTCTGATTTAGAAAAGCGCGTAAACATGCGCGTAAAAACTTGCTCTCTTCATCGGAGGTGAAAGCGAGTATCAGAAGCGTAAAAGTTGCGCAGCGCCACCTTGTGTACCGGGGTATTTCTGTTTTGCATTACGCGCCATCTAGTGTCAGGGAATGAATTTGCATGTTCACTCGGCTCATCGTCAGCGAAAATCGCTTGGGTGTGAACACAAAAAACGCGTTGAAAAACGCTGACGAATAACGCGCGCCGATATTCGTCCCGGTGTGTACGGGCCTTAAGTAGTAGAAAGTATATTTCTTTCTTCCTATACATTCAAGTTATAAAAGAAATGTAAACAGATGCACAAACTGTGCATACTCATAAAACAAAGTGCAACCATAGATATTATAACATTACAAAGTGCTATTTTGTCAACACAATAAATAAAACTGAACAGCTGATCAGAGAACCTTTGGCTTATTTACTGTGCCTATATGTAGGATACATTACAGACATTTCCATCATAAAACTCATAACATTTTAGTACAATATATATAACATGTTAACTCTGAAGCATTTGTTATCAAACTAGTGGACATGCAGGTTTTTGTTAAAAAAAAGCAGCTGGTCTACATGCTCAGGCGTCAATGCACTTCTCTGGGCTGTGACAATGTTGAGAAGACTCTCTCAGCTGGTACACTACTACCAGGAATACAGAGGTATCGCTTAGCTTGGCATGACAAAAGAGGGAATTCCACCTCATGTTCCTTCCACCAGCTGAGTGGATTAGTGCTGAATGGTACTGGTTTTACCTCTTTGTACTTCATCACCTCATCTACTGCATCATCTCTTGTTTTTATGGAGTCTGCTTCTGGAGTATATGTCTGCCCAAGGAGATCTGCCAATGCACAAGAGTCTCTTTTCTTCTTGGATGGGGGTCCAGAGTCCTCAGCTGGTTCTGCTTCATTGGCCTCTGCATTTATTGGTCCACTCTGTTGAGAAAGCAAATTAATTGCATTGTAAATAGTTATCACCCTTTTCAAAAACACCATTTGCTACTCGTGGAGACTGTAAAGTTCCATTTTTTAAAACTTCTTTTGCCCAAAATGTTTTTTCAGTGAAAGGAGCCAATCTGTGGAACTGGCTTCCTAAAAATATAAAGATTTTAACTAAACTATCCACCATTAAAAAACTAACAAAAGCCTGGTTCATACAGCAGCAGCAGTGTGATCATGCCATATGAAATGAATATCCGTGTGTATGTGAGGTGTGCATCTGTGTAAGTTCGAGTGAATGTGTTTATTTACTAATTTTATTGGTGCTAACTGGTTTCTGGACATTTTATTGTATTCACTGTCATTTTTTTATTCCTTTATTATCCTAACTGTTAAAAGCCCTTCTAGGGACAGGTGTTGCGAATTAGCCTTGGCTATAACACTGTGATACAGGCATCGGATTGTTCTTTATGTAATAATCTATGTTTTTTTGTATCTGTCCCTATTCAAATAAACAATAAATAAATAAAATAGTGTATATAATAATATAGTTAGGTTTAAATTCATAATTGCAGTGTATCATTAATAAAAAAAATACATAATGTTTTTATTCACACTATGCAGTGCTTACTGAGCTTTTTTTCAGTTGCCAGTGTCTTAGTGTTATCAGTGAGTTGGGTGAAGACTTCCTCACGCTCATCATCAGTCAAAAAAGGTAGGGCCTTAAAGCGTGGGTCCAGGGCAGAAGCTAAGTTGTTCCTTTAAGCCCGTGTACCTTAAAATAAATATAATACATTTCATAATGATAATAAATACCTTTTCTGGAGATCCTGATGCACAGCAGATTTCATCTCCTTCACCATCACAGGATTGGTACATCGGTCACTAACTTGTGCTGTGGCAGGTCCAGCAGTTTCTGTTTTTTTACTATGGTGCTCCGGTGGAAAAATGCAGAGATCCGCCTCAGTCTGCCTAGAAGCCTTGATACTGCAGGCATCTTGAGAGCAGCTGTGATGCCAATTTTAGGACATGTGCAAAACAGCCAGTGTGCAATGTCTCTGTCAGTCCAACTGCTCGTAGCATGTTAGCTGCATTATCTGTTACAATTGCTGCCACTTTGTCATTCAAGCCTCATTCATTCATTGCCTCGGTGAGCAATTTAGCAATATTTTTCCCTGTGTGGCTTTCAAAGAGCGCTCTGGTCTGCAGGATGTTTGACACAAGGACCCAATCAGTTGAAATCATGCGTCATCAAAACAAAAAGCAGCATGTAGTCGACAAAGCATCGAGGAGGCATCGTATGATAATTTAAACAAGTTTTATGACAAGTTCGGTAAGGGAAAAATCGTACATTTCTGTGCAAACTTTGCCCGCCGATAAAATAATTGCTGTCTGTGGCTGTATATGGGCTGTCGCAATATAATAAAAAATAATAATAGCTCGCAGCAACATATGTGTTACGATGTAGCAGACACAAGGGGGATCCATTTTCAGCTTTATTGAAGGAACGTCAAACAGGCAGGGGTCAGGAAACAGCAAAACAGGGAATTCAGAAAGCAAGCACAGAGAGTAGTCAGGTAACAGGCAGAAGAACAGGGCAGGCAGCAAGAAACAATAATCCAGGGCAAGTCAAGACAGGCAGCAAACAGGCAGTAGTGCGATAACAATCCAGAGTCAGCAAACAGATCAGCAAGATAGGGAAAAATGCTCCGTGATTACAGGCCGTGGCAATGCAATACTTCGCAATGGTCTTCTGTTTGAGTGTGGTTTATATGGAGTGTCTGAATGAGATGCAGGTGAGTGTGCAATCAGTCCCAGGTATGAAGCATTATGGGAATTGTAGCTTTGTGAAGTGATCAGTCTGATGTGGAGTGCCCTCTGGTGACTCTCAGGGGCACTCCAGCTGGTGATCGTTACATAGCCACCGGCGGTGAAGAACCCTCGGGCGGCCACGGCGGTGAAGAACCCTCGGGCGGCCACGGCGGTGAAGAACCCTCGGGCGGGCACGGCGGTGAAGAACCCTCGGGCGGCCACGGCGGTGAAGAACCCTCGGGCGGCCACGGCGGTGAAGAACCCTCGGGCGGCCACGGCGGTGAAGAACCCTCGGGCGGGCACGGCGGTGAAGAACCCTCGGGCGGGCACGGCGGTGAAGAACCCTCGGGCGGCCATGGCGGTGAAGACCCATCGGGCGGCCACGGCGGTGAAGACCCATCGGGCGGCCACGGCGGTGAAGAACCCTCGGGCGGCCACGGCGGTGAAGACCCATCGGGCGGCCACGGCGGTGAAGAACCCTCGGGCGGCCACGGCGGTGAAGAACCCTCAGGCGGCCACGGCGATGAAGAACCCTCGGGCGGCCACGGCGGTGACAATCCTTCAGGTGGCCAGGGCGGAGACCTCCCTTCGGGCTGCCACGGAACTGGAGCAGGCATCCACCCAGGAACAGTCATCAGTTGCTCTGGAACAGACCCTGGCTCAGGACTAGGAACTGATACCTGCTCAGTAACAGACACAGGAACAGACCCTGGCTCAGGACTAGGAACTGATACCTGCTCAGTAACAGACACAGGAACAGACACTGGCTCCGGTACAGGAACAGACACCGGCTCAGTAACAGGAACAGACTCTGGCTCAGCAACAGGAACAGACTCTGTGACGACGGCCATCTTGTCCGTTGACACTGGCTCGGCAGAAGTGACTTGAAGCGTCTCTGGCTGTGCAGACGTGACGTGGACAGCCTCTGGATCGGCAGACGTGACGTGAGCAACAGCCTCTTGCTCGGCAGGCGTGACGTGAACAACAGCCTCTTGCTCGGCTGCTGGATCTGAAGTGGCGAAGTATTCTGTTACGATGTAGCAGACACAAGGGGATCCATTTGCAGCTTTATTGAAGGAACGTCAAACAGGCAGGGGTCAGGAAACAGCAAACCAGGGAATTCAGAGAGCAAGCACAGAGAGTAGTCAGGTAACAGGCAGAAGATCAGGGCAGGCAGCAAGAAACAATAATCCAGGGCAATCCAAGTCAAGACAGGCAGCAAACAGGCAGTAGTGCGATAACAATCCAGAGTCAGCAAACAGATCAGCAAGATAGGGAAAAATGCTCAGTGATTACAGGCCGTGGCAAGGCAATACTTCACAGTGGTCTTCTGTTTGAGTGTGGTTTATATGGAGTGTCTGAATGAGATGCAGGTGAGTGTGCAATCAGTCCCAGGTATGAATATGGGAATTGTAGTTTTGTGAAGTGATCAGTCTGATGTGGAGTGCCCTCTGGTGACTCTCAGGGGCACTCCAGCTGGTGATCGTTACAATATGGAAAAAAGAACTATGAACTAGTTCATTTTTGGAACTGTGAACTTCGTTCAAAATTGTGAAGTATGAACTATGAACTGAACTAATTCATTTTTAAATTTGTGAACTGAACTTTGAACTAGTTCATGTAGAAAGTGAACTTTCCCAACACTGCGTATATGTATATTTATTCAAGTGCTCCATGGCTGCAACAGAACAAGCGGGCGCGGCGAGCACTTCCAGAAACCCGGTGGCCACTATGGACCAAAACTTGCGCGTTTGGAACCGATGATCGGAATCGAAAACAATTTTCTAAATGATTCCAATGGCATTGTTATGTTTTAAACAGTTCCATGTTGGAACCGGTTCTCGATGCCTAACCGTACATACAAGTTGTCGATTTAGATGATTTAACGAGTTTGCAAAATTCTTACATTTTACATTTACATTTAGTCATTTAGCTGACGCTTTTATCTCAAGCGACTTACAATTGCTATATATGTCAGAGGTCGCACGCCTCTGGAGCAACTAGGGGTTAAGTGTCTTGCTCAGGGACACACTGGTGTCTCACAGTGGATTCAAACCCGGGTCTCTCACACCAAAGGCATGTGTCTTATCCACTGCGCCATCACCACCCCCCTCCCCCTCTAGGGTCTAACATACAAGTTGTCGATTTAGATGAATTCTTCCTCTCCTATAGCAACAAATGAATCAAATTGTTCCTCAGTGAGACTACAATGCACTCCCTGATGCGATACTGTACTAGACGGTTGCATAATTATAATTTTGTCCCTGATATTTGGAGCATGAGAGGGAGATTGCAGTAGCCTTGGCTGAAGCTGAAGTTCTTGAGGCAGCAGAGATTGAAGGTACACAGGGCAGTAGGAGTCTCCACGACTCAGTTCAAGTCACCATTCAGCGCACCCGTGAATACGTCGAACACCACTCCCAGCTACGTCTCAGTGATGAGAAACCCCCAGTACTTGAACCATACACGCCATCACTGTTGCCGCTCATCAAACCCGATGTCCAATCAGACAGAAATGAGCGTCTCCCTGGTCCCAGCAGTGCTTCTCATTTCGTACCCAAGAATGAGGGTGCAATTCAGGCTGCAGCACAACAGCCAGAAAGAGCGACGTCCGTGGTTCATCAACTCCCCACAAGGGACGACAGCCATAAAATGCAGCAGCCTGAAAGGCCAACGCCAGCAATTCATCACCACTCCCTTGATCACCTCCTCTCTACTCATCCTCACCCTTGCTCTGTCAGTAAAGCCTCATTACAGCCACATATTGGGTATGCGGACGACAAGGCAGGTATGAGTGATATTACGAGGTACTTGGTACGTCGAGAGCTGGTGAATTCTGGCCTGATCAAATTTAATGATCTTCCAGAAAATTACTGGGCATGGAAGTCTTCATTCTGCAACGCTATTGGAGGACTGAACTTAAGTGCTGGTGAGGAGCTTGACCTCTTAACAAAATGGTTAGGAAATCAGTCTTCAGAGCACGTCATACGGATTCGTTCTGTGCATGTTGCCAGCCCTGATATAGGTTTAAGAATGGCTTGGGATCGCCTAGAGGAGTGCTATGGCTCCCCCGAGGTTATTGAAAGAGCTCTCTTTGAGAGGATAGAGAACTTTCCTAAAATCAGTCATAAACACCCTGTAAAGCTCAGGGAGCTGGGATAACTTCTAAGGGAGTTAGTGTCTGCAAAATCTGAGGGTTACCTGCCAGGGCTCTCATACTTGGACACCGCCAGGGGTGTCAACCCTATCGTTGAGAAGTTGCCAATTGGTCTGCAAGAGAGGTGGTTAGCTCAAGGCTCACAATACAAGGAGCAACACAACGTATGTTTTCCTCCATTTGCATACTTCACAGATTTCATATGCAGTGAAGCACGCAGAAGAAACGACCCAAGCTTCACTCACTCAACAGCCCCTATAACCCCATTGAATAGTTCCCACAGGTTTACTACAGGTCCATCAAAGCATGAACGAGTGGAAAAGAGACCAGCATATGGGAAAAGCTATGTCTCTGCTCACAAGACTGTAATCGCATCGCTACAAACAGCTTCTCAGGCGGACAGTTCAAGCAGCAGGCGAGGTGAAATAGACAAACAATGCCCTATCCACAATAAACCTCATCCTCTAAAAAAGTGTAGAGGTTTTCGAAGCAAGTCATTAGAAGAGCGCAAGGCTTTTCTTAAAGAAAATGGTATCTGTTTCAGATGTTGCTCTTCTACCATTCACCTGGCAAAGAACTGTGAGGTGCACAGAATGTGAGAGCGACAGACATATTGCAGCACTGCACCCTGGAGGGTGAAAGAGAAACACTTCAGCAGGCAGTCACCTCTAGGTGCACAGAGGTTTGTGATGACGGTAGGAAACCTAGATCCTGTTCCAAGATTTGCCTAGTGAAGGTTTATCCTAAAGCACG